TCCCGGCCCTCTTACCCCCACCACGGCCCCATACGCGCCAGATGGTCCAGCTTAAATTTTGCCTGCAAATGACGCACACCTCCCCCACAGACACCCGGTTTGGGGACGATACAGCCACCCGCCCCCACAGCAGCTGGCACTGGGACTCGCACCCGCTCCAGTAGCTGACACCACAGGCCAGGGGTGCCTACAGCCCCAGTCCGACTCCAGTTGCTGGCCCCAAACCCACCCACGCCGGTCTCTCCAGCAGCTGGCACCTAGTCCTTGCAGCACACATCCACACAGGCTATGTGAGATTAATGGAGAAATAGTTAAGAAGGGATTTAAGAAGACGACAGGACAGAGAAGATAAGACAGATCAGGTGCAGGGCTCAGGCAGACAACGCACTGGCCGGCCCTGTTTTACACGCAACCCTTTTATACCCCTTTTCTGCCTACCCCCTCTTCATTCCTCCCTCCTCTGCTTGCAGAGTCCCACCGACTCCCTCCACTGTCCTGGACCTGCAGGGTTACACCCTGACCAGCTGCAAAGTCCCGGTTGCCTGTAGCTCCTTGAGAGCCCATCAGTTAGTGGGACTGAGGAGGTTTGTCTCTCTCCCTTTCCGTACCCTCCCAGCTGAAAAAATGAACATTCTCCTGCTCGCCATACCCTTCCCAAGGAGTGCTGACCAGGTCCGTCCTCATCACCTTCCTTATCCCATGACCGTGAGGGTTGGCTCACTGTGGTGTTGTTTACGGCTCCTCTGACCAGGTGCCCTTAGGGAAGCAGACCCCTCCATCCCCGTACCCTCCCACAGGGCTCCTGGACACTCCCAACAGCGCATGCCAGGAGCCCACTGCGGCCGTTCAGGGTGCCCGACCTACTGTGCACTGGTGCCACCCAACACTCCCTGCTGAAACCAGCTGTGCAGCACCGTCCCCCTGGGGACCTCGATGCACCCCGTGGTGCCCACGTGTCCTCCTCACAGAGGCTGCTTGTTGAGGTGCGATGCCTGCTGCTGTCAACACAGCCTGCAAGCATAGCAGAGCCACCGAATTAACAAGAGCCCCCCACACCCTGGGGCGCCCCAGGGCTGGCAGCCTGTGGCCCCCACCTTCAGCTCAGGGAGAAGAGGAGGAAAATCTTCCCCACCCCGTAGAAGCTGTTGCTGCGGCAAATGGTGGCGATGGCAGAGAAGGCACCGAAGGTGCAAGCCATCACCAAACAGACTGGGGAAAGGCTCCGATAAAGCTTGCCCACCCAGCAAGCCGCCGGGAACGATTCCTCTTCAGAGGCCTCTCAGCACTGCCTCACCCCTCGCCGACACACGTCCCGTGACTTCAGGCCCATTTCACGTTTCTGCCAGTAGCGCTGGGGTAGGATCACAGAATGGTTGAGGTTGGCAGGGACCTCTGGCGAACATCTGGTCCAACCCCCTGCTCCATCAGGGCCACCCAGAGCTGCCCAGGACCGTGTCCAGGCTGCTTTTGAGTATCTCCACAGATGGAGACTCCACCACCTCCCTGGGCAACCTGTGACAGTGCTTGGTCAACCTGACAGTGTAAAAGTGTTTCCTGATGTTCAGAGGGACCCTCCTCTGTTCCAGTTTGTGCCCATGGCCTCTGGTCCTGTCCCCGGGCACCACTGAGAACAGGCTGGCTCCATCCTCTCTGCACCCTCCCTCCAGGTATTTATACACCCTGATGAGATCCCCCTAAGCTTGCTCTGCTCCAGGCTGAACAGTCCCAGCTCTCTCAGCCTCTCCTCGTAGCAGAGATGCTCCAGTCCTTTCATCACCTTCATGGCCCTTCGCTGGACTCTCTCCAGTATGTCCCTGTCTCTCTTGTACTGGGGAGCCCAGCACTGGACCCAGCACTCCAGGGGTGGCCTCACCGGTGCAGAGCAGAGGGGAAGGATCCTCTACCTGCTGGCAATATTTTGCCTAAGGCAGCCCAGGACACCACTGGCATACTTTGCTGCAAGAGCACATTGTTGGCTCATGGTCAACTCATGTGGCCACCAGGACCCCTAGATCCTTTTCTGCCAAGCTGCTTCGCAGGTGGGTGGTCCCCAGCACATACTGGTGAAAGAGGCTGACCCTCCCCAGAGGCAGGACTTTGCACTTCTCCTTGTTGAACTTCATTTCTCCAGCCTGACGAGGTCCCTCTGAATGGCAGCCCAACCCTCTGGTGTATGAGCCACTCCTCCCCATTTGGTGTCATCTGCAAACTTGATGAGGGTGGACCCTGTCCCATCATCCAGATCAGTAATGAAGACTACTGGGACTGGACCCAGTATTGACCCCTGGGGTGCACCACTAGTTACTGGCCTCCAACTAGATTTTGTGCCACTGATCAACCACCCTCTGGGCCCAGCCCTTCAGCCAGTTTTCAGTCCACCCCACCGTCTGCTCATCCAGACCATACTTCAACAGCTTGTTGAGGTAGACAATATCCGCTGCTCTCCCCTCAGCTACCAGGCCAGCCATTTCATCATAGAAGCTGATCAGGTTGGTCAAGCATGACTTCACTTTTCCTTTTTCCCCTACACAGTAGTTGGAGTGGTGCCTAAAGCCAAGCTGGCCACTGTAAGTGTGCCGAAGTCAGAGGCCTGCCTGCTCTGCCCAGGCGTGGCAACGGCCGTGTGGCTGCAGTTTCACCACAAGGCATGAGGAGAGGTTGGATGCTCCGTCTCGGCACAACCTCCCCACCCCGCCCCTGGTCCCTCACAGCTGAGCTGGCTCCACTGCAGTCACCATTCACACTCCACTTGAGAAAACACAAATTAAGAAACCATCTCCTCAAGCTGGAAGATCTGCACTTCCACAGAGCAGCGTTTGTCCTTTAGAAATACATTTGGCTGTTTATAACTGTGCAGTAAGACCATTTTTAATAAAGTTCACACACTGCAATTCCTTAAAAGAATAGTAAAATCATTGTTTATAAATTTACTCTTAGTCCAGAGAGGCTCAGATTAACATGTTTGAGAAAAAGAAATGCTCTGTCTCAGAACTTAACATTAAGTACAAATTTTTGCTTAAGCATAAGCAAAAGATATTTCCCAAGTATAAAGTGCACCTTTTATAACGGATTCAAAACAAACCCACAATAACAAAATTACATTATTCTGAACAATACTTGATTTTATGCACATAAGAGAGATAAATGCTTTCACTCTGTGATGTTGTTTCTTGAAGCATAATAAGAAGTTCTGTAAAAGCTTTTAAAGAGGTCACAACCCCTTCTAATAGTTATCTGGTACAACTGCAGACCTGAAAGATCCTGTTAAAGATATGAACAGCAGAGGTCGCACCGCATCACCTTTACACGCAAGCACAGGTACATAAGAGAGCAGCAGAGCGCAAAACGACTTCTGGTTATTTCAACAAATGAAATCTGAGTAAGTACATGAATACTCATTCTCCTTCCCTCTGCCTAACAGCTATCAGTTCCCGTGATAAAAAGGGCAAAGGAAACGTAATCAGATATAAAGAGAGTTCTGCGGTTCTCTCACAGTGACTTCCCATTGTGTTAGTTTTCAGAAACTAACCTAGTTACCCACGCTTGCCTGCCAAAACTGAATGCTGAACTTTTCTTTCCCCATTTCAGATGTAAAAACCCAAAGCTTGTTCCAATTTCTGAGCATTACTGAACCTTTTGCTTTGCATTTTTAGTTTTGAGGGCGGGCTTTTTCAAGCTTTTAGGTTTTATTTAATGAAAGCAGCCTTCCTCTTAGACCTGAGTAAAAGGTGAGAGGAAAAAGGTCTTCCTCGTTCACTTTTTCAACTGGACAGACATTTAGCAACACTCACATTAGTACTGCCAGTAAGGGAAAATGTAAGAACCCTTATAGTTCTACAAGGGAGAGAAAAATTACACAGGAACAGCGATCAGAGATCCAGGAGAAACAGGGAAGGGACACAAGGATGGAGGGATTCCTGAAGAGCCTGTCTACCTAGTACAGTGTAATGCAGAAACAAGGTGCGCTTGGCGCACGGAAGAGCAGAGCCAGCGCAGCATCCTGCCGGGCGTCACTAACCGTGCCAAGAGCTGTGCGCACGTCCACCTGCCCTGACAAACATTCGGGTAGCTCTGCTTTCCTGCGAGCACTCAAACAATGGAGGTTCCGAGCAGTTTTTGCAGTTCAGTGTAACAGTAAAAATATAACATTCAATGTATCAAAAATACACTATAAAACAATAAAAGGCTGCATGTCACTGCAATGCATTGTTACTTCAGTAAAAATTGTGGTCACACTTATAGCGAGAGGCCTGCATCATCATCAGCTTTTTGAATACCAGAAAAGTAATCTTTGGCTATCAAAAAGATTCCCCTCTCCCCTCCTTTTATTTTTTTAAATGAAATTCATTTTGCTATTCTTGAAGATGCCATCTGTGGTTATTTCAAAGTTCTATTTCAGTTCTATTTTCAGAAGCATACTTACTCCTCTCTTCCTCAGGTACTGGGGAAAAAAAAAACAAAAAACAACCTGAGCTGGAAGTTTTTCTGCTAGCTCATGCAATATCACAATCATCTTAAGAAGGGATCAGGACTAGAAGGAACAGTACCGTGTCTTCAGCACTTCTTGTAATAACGATGAATTGCAATTCTTAAAGTTACTCTTGCTACACAGTGCCAATACATTCAAAAATAGATGAGAATTGAATTTGCTCTGCTGTAATAGGTTGTTAATTTTTTAAAAGGCCATTTGGAATATGCACTTTGTTTAAGTACCTACATTAAAACATACTGTATTGTAAAATGCATTTCTGCATTGTTCCATAAATCCTTACAGTCCATCCCACTGGCTTTTAAAAGCGTTGCTGCCCAGGTTTACCCATCTTCTGAAGAAGCAGACTGAATAGTGCCAAAAGGAAAAGTGTTACTTATCAAATGGAAGCCTTTGTTTGCAACTGGGTTCTGAAGCTGTCCTGTGTTCATCATCTCTCGTGTTATTCCAGCTTTTCTTCATTGGAATTAGATGAGGGGCAACCACATCACTATCCTATTGTTAAAAGTCAGAAAACATTAATGATAGTACATTCACTTTTGCTTTCTATCCTAAAGCAGGGGAAAAGCAGCTCAGTATCAGACTTAATAGGAAAAATAAATCCAAGGTCCTAGAAGCATTGTAAATCAACAAACATTGAAGACAGCGCATCCCCGAGATGGAAGTAGTCAGTGGTAGCATCTGGTGGGGAGAAAAAAAGTCCCCTGCATATCTGAGAAGCCTTCACCATTGGCAGTTCACCTCTTCCTAAATTACCACCAGCAAATCTAGGAAGATCAGCAGGCTTGTATTTTGGGCATCGGTATGCGAACCGGAAACATTATTGTGAGTGTTTCCTCTGAGTTTGCCACAGTATCTCACTGAAAACTGTTGCAATCTACCAGCAGCGGGTGCTTGGATGTGCCTTTCACTGTCTTAAAGCACGTAACGTTGGTACAGTAACTGGTACGGCCTAAGGCAGTGGTGCTCATCCTCCTCAGGTATGTATGTTAACCTAGTGCTCAGGCACCGCAAACACAGACAAGACGGCAATGAGCTCTCTAAGCTTAGAAATAAGCTGGTGAGACGGGTGTTGCTGTGTTCTGCAACGTGCCAGGGCCTGCAAGATGGGTATGCCTGAACTAGAAGAATATGCTCATAGAATACAACCATACTCTACAAGCAGAGAAAGCTTGTTGCTTGATCCATTTGTAAAAAGCCCTTCTGAAATTAACTGCTCTCAAAAGACAGATGCCAGAAGTATGACATAAGAACGAGCCTTAAAACAAGTTGTTCGTGCCTATAGCTGTAGCTCCAGCACATAAGAACACTCATCTGCTGGGTTGTCTTTCATTTCAGAGGATGTAGCTCTTTCCCTGAATGAGACTTGCAGGTGTCTCTAGCAAATAAGATGCAAAGTCAGGGATATTAGCATATTTGATGAAAAGGAAAAAATATACATGGTTCACAGAACAAACTGTTCACACTGCATTTCTTAAGCAACCTGGAGACTTTAATATAAGCATTTATTTTACTTTGAGGTTTGATCCCAGATAGTGGAAAATATCTGAAAAAGTGCACGGAACTGAAGAAAGCTCTTCCTGTCCCTGGCATGACTATGAGACAAACAAAAGTGAAAGACAAAAGTGAAAGCCAACCATTAGGGGAGAAACGTAACAGCAGATTAGCCAGCACATCTATCAAACCTACTGACGCTTCCAGCCTAGAAACTTCACAGCTCACGCATGTAGCCAAGTGGCTCCATTAGTGTTTTCTACTGAGAAAAACTTACTTGATACAACCATAACTGCTTCCCTACAACAATGGCTATACTGGAAGTATCAGCACATACTAATTCTTTTAGATGAAGGCACCCACCTCCCTGCAAGGGGGACGTGATGGGGATGATGCTGTATCACACATCGCCCGTTTACAGCCATGATTGTTACAGGCTTCTCCACCACCTTTGGCAGGAGGAATGCAAAGCAAGACGTATGGATTCAGGGTCTGCTTTAGAGTCTCCATTTTACTTGCCAGGGCAGCTCTGACGCGGTTCCCAACACAAAACAAAACGTCAGATGAGCTGTAACATACCCTCTTCCTTCCTCTCAGCTGGAAACTTGTATGTTCTGAGAGTTGACAGAAAAGGGAAACGCCTTGCAGGCAACTCAGACTACAGACTAGTTGCCCAGAGAGTAGAGCTTTGCAATCTTGTTCCTGCAGATATTTTCCACTCTAACTCAGAGCAAATGGACTGACTGTGAATCTCCTGGGGGAGGAGCGAGTTTAACAGCTGGTGAACAAGGAAGGAAAAGAGGGAAAGCAATAGAAGAACTGATCTGACCTCTTCCCTAGATCTTTTAATCTTTCAGTCCTTTCTTAAGCCTTTGTATGAGGAAACCTGCATCCATGAACTAGTGAGTGTCTGTGTGGATACTAACTTTGTTATAAAAACATGACTTTTTAAATCATGTAAGTTAAATCAATACAAATCCATCACTATTTCAGTGAAACCAAAGCATGCCCAGATGCGAGCCACAATAAAACCAGAAGCTAAGTTAGTGAGGAGTGGCTCTGCACAAAGACAAGGCCTGAATGCCAAGTTTCTTAATGAAAGACCAAGCTTATGGACAAAGGTGAAGAGCTCTAAGAACAAGAAAAATAACGTGGATTTGTTACCTGTGGTTTGGTGAAATCCTTCTTTATACACCACTGAATAAAATACTGTTTTGCAGCTGAAATAATATCTGGATCCTGACTTTTGCAATAAACACGGATAACCTGCTCTGCAAATGTCATGGGTAAAAACTTTGAAACCTTTGGAATAAAAAATAAATAAGTTTTAGCATTTCTTGGAATTCAAAGTCCACTGAACTTCAATTTTTTCACGTGAATACAAATGGAAAGCAGTAAAAAAACATTCCACTACAATCCATGAGCTTTATCCAAATCAACTGTATTTTTCTAAGACTTCCAGTGTATTCAAGTTAAATACTGTTCATATGCAAAGGCTGTCAGGATTCTAGATTGTCGTAGCACAACACACACCGAAGACCTGCAAGGACATGGATTCCACAACCTCTCCACAACTCCTGCAAGAGCTACCACGAAGGACTGTAATCACTTCCATCGCAAGCTGTGAAGAAGATGCCCTTCAGAAGCCAGTTGAGGAAAATAAAAAACTACCTGCTCTTTACTGATCTTGACTGCCTGGGAAGGATCAGCCTTGCAATAGAAGAGAACATTATCAATGGGATTCTGTTCTTTCATTCCATAATCCATATTGATAACCTTGCATGTAAAACAAAGAAAATGGCATTTGTTAATGTTTGTCTTTAGTTTTCTCACAATAAATACAAAAGGATACACACTATACTTCTGTAAATGACACTAATCAAACAGAACAGTAATTAACAAATGATTACTTAATAAAACAATCTGGTATTTGCATTTTGTATCTTTTCTTCCACCACCTTTCGCTCTGAAGCTGCCAGGTGGATATATTCACATTTACACCAACCAGCTCCCAGTCGTGCTCTGAAACACTCCAGTTTCAAACAGTGGAAGCATGCTAGTCCCTTGCCAGCCTGTGCCTCCCCAAAACACACAACCTACGGAGGCAGCAGTAGAGTTTACAGTTTTAAACATGAAGTTTAGACAACATTATTTACATCTGCTTGGTACACCAACAGTTTTGTGGTCAGCAGGGAGGAGCCCACTTCCCCATGACTTCAATTTGTGGGACAAGGAAAGCACAGTCAACTACTTTAAAGCTAAGTAAACTGCTACAATTTTACCCAGCCTGAAGTGAATGTTCAATGCAAGGGAGCTTTAGCAGTAATTTGTGATGTGCTCTATGGAAAGCCATTTGTTAGCTTTGCCCAGAATTAACGAAGAACAGGGATTAAGCTATTTGATACTTGCAGACTGCTCAAGCTCTCTCCTTCCCACCAGGGCTGGCTGGAGACTGAGCTGTGGCAGCAAGGTGATTTATGCAGAAGACAAAACCCAGGAGTGACTGCCATGCATCAGGCGTGCAATACTAGAAACCTGGACGTCACTGAGCCTGTTATCCTCCCACTGGGGCCCGCAGTTTACCTGCCTTCATAACCGGCAGCCGTGGTTCCTAGGCTGTTGACTTTAACACCCGTATGCTAAAACCCAAAGGTTTCCCTGCTGCTCCTTTTCAGGGTGAGGACAGTCATAGGAGAACACATTTGTCACCGGGAGCAGAAGTGCCCAAACGACAGCCCAGTGAAGCTGCCTGAAGCCTCTGCCCCCAGGCCCTCCAACCACAGCAAACCTCCCGGGGGGAAGCTCGTTGTTCTCGGAGCCTTGAGCTGAACAGCTAGGACAGCATTTAAGAGGCAACCCTGTGGTTTTGTTTTTTCACTTTGCAAATGTATTGAAACGTATCTCCAATTTTCACTATGGTATACAAGGCCCTCTGTGATTGCGAAGTTTTTACTCTGAACCCGCTCTGAGAGATATTTACATCAATTATGAAATCTTCAGCCTTCAGCTGCACATCTGGAGGATCCTTTTCTGGCTTGGAATTAGCAATGCTTTCTGCCAGGCTATTATTCTGAAAAAAGATGGTAATTCAGATTACATGTATGCACTATCAGGTCTAGACCAAGGCAACAAAATGCATGACAGAACGTGTCACTAAACTAAAGCTTTCATTTCTTCATAGCTTGACAGACTCCTCTCGCAGCAATCTGTTTGTTTGAATCCTTGTATACCTCAGCCATAAGTTTTCTACCAATTTTTAGAAACAAAACAAGCTTATATAATTGAGAAGATCCAAATACTGCCAGCCTGTGGAAGAAGAGTTTTACACCTGATGACCGGGGTGGGGGGGAAGGGAGAGGGAGAGAGAGAGTCAGTCCATCCAGGATGTTGAATTCTCCACGAAAGCAGAAAATAAGTACCTTCAAGCAATTGTTTTACTAATACAAATGTTTTGCAATTAAGTTCCCCAAAGCTGAATACTAAACCTTTTTACTGAACTTTTTTTTTTTATAATGAAGGGCTGCAGGATCTCACCCTCTAATAAAGCTTTTATACATTGAAACATATAAAAAAACCCCAAGAGACACACAGGATCAGTAATGTCATTGATCACTATAAAAAAACCCCACAGAACCCCAAACACAGAAGCAGCAAGCTCCTAGGCAAACTTTAGAGGGGATGGTGACCTACTTCAAAAGCTGAAAGCTGAAACCCGCAAGGGGGTTTTGTCTGGTTTTGGACCTAGAGACTATTCCCTGCTGACAGGTAGGCTAAAGCCAGAGGAGCACGGTGTGATGGAGAGTAGCTGTTCATGGAAATGTAAAAGTTCTCATTAAAAGGCTGTGGCTGGGCAGCAGCGAGAAGGTTGCCTGTTTACCTTTGTCCAGGGCTGCTATGTTCAGGGAAGGTGCAGGATTTGATGAAGCAAGATTTCCTGGGGGCAACTGAGACTCATGGGAGAAAAGCTTCGAGTGCAGCACAGAGCATCCAGGAGACAGGTCCAGAAGGGGAGGAATTCAACTAGCAGCATTTTTTTTTGCTGCTGAGCAAAGACGGGGAGACTGCTAAGAAGAGCAGGGAATCACACACATTACCAAGCTGAGGCATATGTGTGGTTTGTTGTGACTCTAGAAGCCAAGGAAAGGTTTAGACTGAGAGCAAACCTAGAGGAAAGAATTGTCAGGAGGCAACTGGCAGGAGGCAGCCTGTTTATAAGCTATTTATTTCTATTCTGTATCAGAATGTATGTATGCTAACTTTCTCCTTTTCTTTGTTGTTGTTCGCTTGCCTTTTTTTAAAGTTACCTCTTCCAGTTTGCATAAATTCAAAGCTAAGTTTCCAGTTAAAGAACTCTGTAGCTATTTGGGATGTTCCCCTGGCTCTGGCCAGCTTGAGGATCACAAAACTGGACGGGGCCCTGAGCAACCCGATCTAGTTGAAGATGTCCCTGCTCATTGCAGGGGGGTTGGACTAGATGACTTCAAAGGTCCCTTCCAACCCAAACCATTCTGTGATTCTATGATTCTAAACATAACGGCATTGTGGTCTCTTAAGGAGAGAACAGACACAGCTATGTCTTTTCTAGCCACAGCCAAGTCTTGTCTAGCCACTGCTCACCTCCAGCACTTCAGAGGAAGTTGAGCCTCCAACACTCCTGCAACAGGCAACTCCTGCACCACAGGAGGAAAAATTCTCCCCCAATCCCTCAGCTGAGCATCAGAAGCTGCAAAGCATTGCCTGGATATAATTATAGCACCAACAGTGATCCAGTCTCCCTTCAAAACAACACACTGGATATCCCAAGACTCAATGCCTCTGGCTGGATTTTCAAAGTGAGAGTTTTTCTTTTCACTAACCAAGCTTCTAAAAGGAACTGTTCAAAGGTGGAACTCATGCAATTCACTCTCCTGCCCATCTCCTTATTTGTTAGGCTATCTATCCTGAACTCCTCCTCAGAAGGGCAGAAACCTGACAATCAATGTACAACCATTTCATGTTTTCCTTCCTCCTATTTCCTCCTACTTTTTTAATACAGAATCTCTTAAGGCTACTTTTTCTTAGACAAAGAACACAAGCAAACCTTCTCTTCAAACAAAAAGATGAACAGAGCTATAAGACATCTAGTAGTCTTTCTCTAACCCTATTCTTTAAAAGTGCTGAATTATTTTTATTAAGGCTTTCTAGATACAGTCAACCACTTCTGGAAATTTGGCATGGAAAATTTTAAGCATCATGGCTGAAGTTTAGAGATAATTAACTAATGATTTGATAATATGGTATAGCACATTACAAGAAAAGCTGAGCCATCTGAAGTAATGTCAGCTCCAACACAACATTATTTTAAAATAAGACAACAGCGGTTAAACCGATGTCTGATGAGTGCTTTGAAAAGCAAACACTGGAAAAAATACATGCATGATCATGCTAAGTACAGAATTTAATACCAAGAAATTCAGAAGTTATTGTTCAGTTTGACATTTGTTCTCAAAGCACACAAATTACGATTCAAAGCAAACGTGTTCCTTATTATTTTGAAATTTTAATGAACATAAGATGATAGTAATAACCTTCTCAGTCACTGGACTATAACAGCTTTTTATGCAACTTTGTATTTTTTGGAAAACAGTTTTTTTCTGAAAATATTTCTGCAATAATCAACTTGTGAATTTCCACCTCTTGCCATTCTCCTGGCTGTTCGTAGCTAAAACTCTTCCCAGTTTCCTATAATGTTTCATGGCTCAGCTACATAAAGGCAGGAGAACTTTTGACTCTATTTTTGGAATAACAGTTAAGCAAAAAAAAAAAACAACCAACCCCAAAACAAACAAAAACTACACAGAGACAGAGAAAAAAAAGATGGCCAGCAACTTAGAGAACATTTTTACAGGGACAGAATTCAGAATCTTCCACCAATGGACATTACCTTTACAATTTCCCTCATTGTTTCAGGTTGAGTCTCTCCTAAAAACTTGTATAATTCACGTCGTTCTATTTTATGCAAAATTTCTCGTGCCTCCTTCAGTTCTGGACAACTTGAGTGCAGAATTTCCAGGTAGATATTATCTGCCAAAGTTGCATTAATTTTTGTTAAGTATGTCACAATCCAGTGTCACGGCAAAATCCAAGTACAGGGACAAAGGTTAAAGCAACAAGAAAAACTGCCGGTTCGGGAAAGACACTCACTTTCAGAGAATGACTGAACATACTAAGTCTGACAACTGAGAAGTCACTTACAATATCATCTTGATTATCATCAGATTCATAACCATTGTTGACAGAAAAAACTAGTTCAATTCTCACATTATTTCACTGGAAGTTGCTTCCTCTTCTTGTTTTGCCAATCTTGTTCAGCAGAATATCCTAAACCCCAGCACTAACTGGCTCAGGGACAAGGGTGCTCTATCTTCTAAAAGTATAAGGTACTTCCGTTAAACCTTCAGAATTTCTCAGACTTTGGACGCCAGCACCAAAGTCCCCCCTCCTGTCTCCACATGACTGTGAAGTACGTGGTGTGTTTCCCACCGTCAATATGAGCAGCAAGACACAGGTTTCTTTTGATGTGGCTTCGGAGCAGAAAGGTTATTTTTGGCTGTCCTAAAGAGACTGCTGCTGTCAGGATGCTGCTCGCCTGTCACAACCAACACAGCTGCACTCCGTGTCTATTCACATTCCCTGACCAGAAATACCTAGGCAGCTTTGACATGTGCTGCAAACACAGCTCTGCAATGCCCCACCTAGGACCGCAAGTGGCTTAAGAAACTCCCAACACACTCCAGAAGCAAGCTATGAGCCATGTACCAAAATACCTTTAACTGAGGGTTGTTTTTATGGACAAAGTTGATCAAAGTCAGGAACTTCTCCACGAGGAACAGCTGACTAGGTCCCTTCAGATTGAGAGATGAGATAATGCAGGGGAAATAAGAAGCCCATGAACACATCCACTGTGCAAAAGCAGTAGTGACAAGGAATGGTTTGTTGTCTCATCCTTTACTAAAACTAGAATTTGCTGTCAAATCAGGAAGCAACAAATTAAAAACTAACGGTGGTTCTTCACCCATCATGGAAGAAAGCTATGGAGCTTTCTGCTGCAGAACCTCACAGAGGTTTATCATTTGCAAAGATCCAAGAGGCAATTAGACAGTTTCAGAGAAGCACCACTCATCATGGACTATTAAAAACAAGCCTGTTGTCCTCTCAGAAGCCCCCAGGTTGCAACCACTGGAGGCAGGGAAGGAAGTGCCTTGGTTTAAGAGGAGGAGAACATACTCGTCCTTCATGGTCGTGTTACATCTGATGTTGGCATATTCCTCGCATCACTCTCCTTGCTGTTCAACTCTCCTTGTTGAACAGGACAGCCCTGGCAAGCAGCTCCTTGCTGCGGCAGACTGTAAGAGGCAGGGGACAGAGCTGGTCTCCTTGCCCTGAGAGCTGTGCTCCTCACCAGGTACCGCAGGTCAGCAGGCAGTTACAACAGGACCCTGGTGCTAACTTGCTAGCACAGCTGATCTCACAGACCAGACAGCTGCCAGGGAACAGATCCTAGCCTGTTAAGAACTTAATCCCAGTTCTTGCCTTTCTGCCCAGCCTTCCACAGCCCAACACTGCTATTCATGCTCTCCAATAGCTACTGCCCCTCAATCAAAGCCAGCCCCTTCTCCTCCCCTGGGGCAGAGGCATGCAGTGACAGAGGGGCCAGGCAGCCCCTCATCTCAGCATTCTGTGCAGCCCCTTCACCTGCTCGTTGCATCAGGTCTATGGTCAGGCTGAATGTGGCTGTGGCAGATGAAGGATTGCCAGCAGAAGGCTGTTAGCATGACACAGGTTAAGGCACACAGGATCCTCTGTGACACTGCCCTTGAATCTCTCTGTGGGCCAGCCAAAGCTTGCTGACGGAAACTCAGGAAAGTTGCCTTGCCACTCAGGAGAGATGCCTTGGGAGTCCTCATGAGCTGTAGCTCACAGGTGCTGCAAGAGCTGCCAGTACTTGGGAGCACTCTTCATCAGGGTCTGCAGCGTCCTCTGTCCTGCAGTCACCCAACCACAAACCCCTCAGTGCAGCAGGGTCTGCCTTGCCCACACTGGCCTCCATCCCCCATGCTGCACGAAGTTGGTAATGGCATGGCGCAGCACTGAACACCAACCAGAGGAATGCTGGTGTGCCTCACAGTGAAGACCAGGAGGGGCAGACAAAACCAAGACGCCACTGTGGTGGGAAACCAGTAACAGAGGACACAACATAACTCAAGCCAGTTTCCATGAATTCAGTAATTTCTCTGTGTTTCCTCTTCACAGCACTGAGCCAGACCTTGAGAAATGGGAAAACATCACAAGTCTCAGCTCTTGCTTGCTTCACTCTGTAATCACGGTGGAGTTCCCCCACATGTCTTCAAGCAGGTTGCTGCTCCATGTACTTACCCTAGAGAACCATTCTCACAAGCTCTTATCCGAGCAACCAGAAACTTTCAGCAATAAACTAAGTTGTTCATATATATTGTTTTCTTCTGTTATATTTGCAAGCGGGGTAGAAATGTCTCAAGCAAATCAAATCAGACCCCATCAGAGGCCTTTGAAACCTGCCCTGGGGTTAGTTTCACACTACAACACACACACAGTACTTCTCTACCTGATGTAGCTAGATGTAGTATCGCTCAGAGCTGACTTACATCCCACTTGTGACAAGCGCAACAAACTCAGGGCACAGGCAGGACCTCCTGACAGCACTGCTTGCAATAATCTGAATTTGAATGTGTGTGGAACATAAGAAGTTGGTGCTTCTCTCTCTCAACATAAAAGTAATTTAAACTAGAAGGTCTTGCTCTCCCAGCAAGACATGAGAGCATGGAGATTGGGCGGTCCAGGTCTGCCCCACCATCTGTGCACAAAAGCAGTACTTGAGAGTCCTAGTCATGGGCAAGGGCCCACTGTGCCAACAGCTGTAAAAGCAGCATTTTAACAGGTACTCATGTTCTTTTACTTTAAAAAAAAAATTCTGAGAGCTCATACCAGTTAGCTTAGTGTAGGCTTCCATGTCCTCCATTGCTGTAGAAATCTGGTACAGTTTTCCTCCAGAGCCTTCTATTTTAAAAAATTTGTCTGCTTTTTGAAAGGCTTCCGTAATCCTAGTTTGAGACAAAATTAAGATGTAAGGATAGCATCATTTTGAAACACCTTATTGCTCAAGAGTCAAAAAAGAAATGCATTAGTATGTTATAAATAGAAGACAATAGATGAAACTGCATCCCAAGCACACAGCAGACCCTGATCGCACTGCAAGATGTCCTGTCTCCATGCTGTCATTGCACATTTCAACAGAGTCTTTCCATTTACTGAAAACAGTAAATGGACAGATCAGACCTTAACCTTCTTTCAATGAATGAGCAAGTCCACTTTGTTCTGCTTCAGACTATGAGTTTAACATTGCTTAGATGATTGCAGAACCCTGCAAGACAGTGACATGGTCACTCAGCTGCAATGAGTGATGATCATATCCTTTTACAGACTCATTGCTCCAGGAGTTAACTGAGAGAATACAAAGCGTTGTAAAGGTAGAGCATCATGAGCATGTGGTGGGAAAAACTGATGTTCTAAAGATCAAGTTCTTCCAGAGTTCCCTGTACCTTGTCATTTCCAGCTCGTATGCTCATTTGAATAGGCTGCTATAATTATGGTAAGCCAAGAACTAAATTTCTTGGCTGTTTTCCTCCTCACACATAGGTATTGTCAAACCTTAGCGTTTTTTAGTCTGAGTTTTAGGGGATCACTAAACCAGGAGGCTGAAGTTTATGAAATGAAAACAGTCATGAATCACTCTTGTACTGTGTAATCCTCTGCGTTCCTTTTTTCCCAACTCAGCAGATGGTTACTCGGCAGCCAAGATCCTAATGAAAAAATATTTGGGGATACTAGTATTTCTGCTTTTCAAGAAAAGTAAAAAGAATAATGCTATAGGGAAACTTCTATAGACATCAACAAGAGAGGAACAAACGTAGGTAGCCAGCTGCGTTGGTCCTGAACAATTCCTGCTGTGGCATTACATAAACATAAAGTCAGGCCTCAGCTGAGCTACAGTAAGCTTGCTCATTATTTTACTCTGTTAGTAACCTTGCCCTATTAAACAGCCAGTTCGAGCTAAGTGGTCTCTAACTTGTAGATAAAGATTTTACTTCAGCTGTCAGCAGTTAAAACAACATAAGCACACCCTGGTCCTATGCTTCTTCAGGGCTTTAGTAATTTCCCTCTAATTGAATTTCACGTGGACAGATGTTGTTGTCCTTTTTTTTAGTATTTATTTTGTTAATCACAGCCTCTATGATACTCTAAGCGCTGAGCCTTGCCACAAGAATTGGGTTATATAGCCCAGTGGCTTTTATTCTGGGTCACACCTTATTGATTATCTGAATATTCCAAACGGATATACAGTTTCAAGAACTTAAAAATAAATGGAATGCAAGAAAAGGAAAGCATAATACTTGCATTATTTCAATGATGTTGCCAATCTTATGCTGGTATGCTCGCCGGTGCAGGCAATTCCGTGTGTGGAACATATCATACAAATTTCCAACTTCCTGAATCAAAAAAACCCAATCACCTTTTACTTTCGACATTGTCTTAATTGGAAAACTAAAACAATCAAGGAATCAAATGAGTTGTCTCCTTCCATTTGCAGCATAGAGCAGAATGGTTATTTGTCACAATTTACAAATTTTGAAACAGACTCAGGCCACCGTGGCAGAGCAGAGACCTGAGAGTGACCCCAGGCAGCCCGGGCAGAGAAGAGGACCTCTTGCTCCTTTAGCAGCCCCTCGCCAAAGCCACATTCACCTCTTGCTCAGAAGACTTGGAGCAGGATCGTGCACAGCTGATGGTTTTGTAGAGGCTGCCCTGGAAGGACCCACCACAAGCACTTTCAAACAGGCTTGCTCTGTCCCTCCCTTCCTCAAACCAGTTGCTTCTGAGATTTCAGAGCAGCAACTACTTCTTCCTCTCTTGGGCTAAAAAAGCATCCAGCAGGCAACCCCAGCATCCCCCTGCAATCCGGAGTGCAGCTGCACCACGCTGCCCGAGGCTGCTATACCTCACACTCATTTTGCTGCTGACCGTTCCGTCAATTCACACACACTGCTTACCTTGTCACGGGTACAGATATGCTTCTGGTTTTTTACTTCACAGACCCGAGTGAATTTAAGCAATCGCTTATAATCAAAATTATTCTGGATTCCTAGGTGATGGCAATCCCTAAAAATATTCCAGAGAGCGTTTAACAATGAGATCATATTTGTACATACAGTAGCATTGTTTCAGTAGGAATTCATAATAAAAACAAAAAAAGTAAGATTTATACCTTGCAAAATAATCCCATTTGTCAACATCAATGCCATTTTTTTTGTTAGCTACTATCTCATATAGGAAACTTTTCTCCTTTTGTCGACCATGGTAGGGCCACTAACAACAGGGGAGCCGAGAAGAAAAAAAAAATTAGAAACAATAAGAAATTAAAGTGTGCAAACAATCTCAGAACAGTTTTTTAAAGACAGTGGGAATACACTTTGATTTTGCCTGTGATAACCAACCAACACTGAGGTAGCAAAGAACACAAAGACAATAAAAGAGCTTTCAGAAGCTATCGGGCATTAGAAATCCAGAACTAGGGCTCAAGCAGCTGACTTCCCAGAATATCAGGAAGAATAAAAACCATGTACACAAGTATTTCATTTCCCATTCTACTACAGCAAAGCCTGCAGCTTTGAAATGCCAAAAAAAAAAAAGCATACAAAGAGGGGGAAAAAAGCAACAAAGAAGGGAAAAGGTTGGAATCATTTAATCCCCAGGGAATTAGTTAAACCCACAAACATGTCACTGTCTTGCAGTCTGCTGCAATTAACTACATAACTTTAAAGAACAGAGATTTAAAATAATTTAAAATAATTATTTAGATGTTTTAAACAAAAAATTGTTTAAAACTTTTAAACAA